CACGGAGTAGATGTGTGCGAGGCCCTGCAAGAGGCTGAGCCCCGTTGGCGGAAATAAGACGGTGCTGGTGCGAGTGGAGCCGCGGCTGTGCGCTCTCCCCACCATCCACAGGGACAACTCACGGGGACCTGGCTCCCTCCCCCGCTCAAACGCCCCGTGTCCCCAGTCTCAGACATTTCCCCTCTTCTCCGACATATGAGATCATCTCTTAATACGGGAAACAAGTGACCAGAATTATTCCCTCTGTATATTCTAGAAACAGGTTGTTTGTTTTTATTAATTCCACTGGTAAATGCATTGCATCTTGGGATGAGAATTTTTTTTTTTTTTTTTTTTTTTTTTTTTTTATTTCTAGGAGAGAGAGAGAGACAGTGTGAGCAGGGGAGGGTCAGAGAGAGAGGGAGTCACATACTGAAACAGGCTCCAGGCTCTGAGCCAGGAGTCAGCACAGAGCCCGACGTGGGGTTCGAACCCACGAACCGCGAGATCATGACCTAAGCGAAAGTCGGTCGCTTAACTGACTAAGCCACCCAGGCGCCCCATGGGATGAGAATTTTAAAACTGACAGCTTTCTTTTCTCACTCGTAAACGTGCTATTTGGAAATAGACTTGCCACACTCTATTCTGTGGATCTGAGGCTCCTAACCTTGTCATTAGGGTAAAGGTCCCAGAGCTGGGGGGCGGGGGGGCCCACAGTCATCACAGACCTGTCCCGTGACCTCAGATCATTTAACCTCTGGGGCTTTCGCTTCCCCTATCCATGCGGTGGGGGTAATGACACTGTCCTACCTTAGAGCTGAGAGTCGGGAGGGGCTGCACGGGAAAGAGACATGGCAAGAAGGACAGGGAGGTGTGGGCACGTGAGAACTCAGTTTGGGAACCAGGGTGAGGGGTGACTGATGGTGCATGGGACGTGCCCACCACCAAGGGCTTCACCTTGGAATTCCGTCCAATCCCTGTGACTGTTTCCAACTGTATGACTCACTATCAGTAAGTACCGACTGAAAGCCCACCTGATAAATACACCCACTCTGGGGTGAGCAGGGATCACCTTGAAAGGGGGCAATGGCATCTTCTGCATGATAAAAATATTCTACAATAGGATCTTGGTAAGAGCTTGGGCTGGAGATGTGTGTTTGTCAAAACTCTTCAAATAGTAATTAAAGATTTGTACATTTCACTGGGACGCCTGGGTGGCTCAGTCAGTTAAGCATCCGACTTCAGCTCAGGTCATGATCTCATGGTTCATGAGTTCAAATCCTGCATCAGGGCTCAGAGCCTGGAGTCTGCTTCAGATTCTGTGTCTCCTTCTGTCTCTGTCCCTCCTCTGCTCACGCTCTATCTCTCTCTCTCAAAAATAAACGTTAAAAATTTTTTTTTAATATTTATACATTTCACCGCATATACATTTTACCAAAAAAGAAAAAAGGAAACTTGGAACTCTAACTAGTAATGTGCATCCTGAAGTATTAGTAGGTAAAGTGCACTGAAATCTGTGACCTATTCTGAACCACACAAAAAAATAAGATGGGTTAATGGATGGATAGAAGGCTCGAAAGCTACGTGATCAACAAATGTAGGAAAACGTTAATTTCAGAACCTGGATGGTGGTACACAGTGTGTGCTGTAAAATTCTCTCAGCTCCTCTGTGTGCCTGCACATTTTCACCGTAAAACACTGGGGTGAGGGGACAGAGCTGACACGAAGAGTAAGTTGCACGGGAGCTCACAAGCACAAGCACACCAAAGGCCAGGGTCGCCCAGACGGGGACAGGAGCTGGATGCAGAAAGGCAGTGCTCAGCCAAGGTCTCCGCAGGAGGAAGAGGGTCCAGCAAGGCAGCAAGGCTAGAACTCACACAACACTGGGTGACCCACACAACTAAGGGACCCACACAACTCATTAGAAATATCAAAGTGAGCCACGCGCATCCATTGTTTGCACCCCACTCGCCCAGCAAGCGAGACAAGCATACTCCTATCAGTCCTGTTCTGTAAACGAGAAAGCTCTTTCCGTCAACTAGCCCTGAGCACTAACACCTACCAGGCACCAGGCATGGAAATCAAAGACCAATCATCCTGCCTCTGGGGGACTCGCAGCTGGTCGGGGAGAGACAGCGAGGAACCGCAGCCGCACAGTGAAGGGCGCCTGCATTAGCACCTTGGGGCGCTCTGAGACCACACAGGTGGGGTCCCAACGGCCCAGGCTAGGAAGATTTTTCCAGAGTGACCAGCAAGCAGAAAGCTGGATGAGAAATGAACTGAAGGTGAGGAGGTAATGGAGGCTGGAGCAGAAGTTAGCAAGGTGAGCTCTAGGGAGAGAAGACAGTTTATCCTAAGGCGTAGAAGCGACCGTACAAATGTCCAGGAAACTGAAATCAGTTCCCAACAACCCACGTGACTAGAGTTTAAGGGGAGAGGTGGCTAAGATGAAGCTGAAGCATGGGGCAGAGGCCAGATGCAGAGGCCTCTGCGACTTGGCTCTAGGACAGCAGGGAGTTGTTCAAGGACTCCCAAGGGCACAAACAGGAGGGGCCCCGCTTCAGAAAGCAGCAGCAAGTTCGTGGCCGGCAGTGGACACAGGGTTTCCATTTGGGTTTATCTGAGAAAAGGAAAGGATGGTTTCTAGTTGCTAAGCTGTGACACAAGGTAACGTACAGGACAGGCTTCATCATTATAAGCTCTGTAACTACCTGTCACTCACTATGGCTCACTAATGCAGCAGCGACCACACCCTCTAACCAATTAGTTAAATTCGGAACACCAGATAAAGGCATTTTGTGTCAGAGACGCATTTCCCACATAACCCATATGCACTTGCTCCCAAAGATTGGGGAAAGAAAGGAGGAGCCCAAGGGAGGACCATCACACTCCCCACAGGCTAAGAGTGTACAAAGATGTTTTAAATGAGACACAAAAAGTGATGAGCACAGGAGACATTCACACTTATTCCCAACAGAAAACTCATGCTCAGAATATACACAAGTCGTACAAGTCAGGAGAGGGGGGTAGACAGAGGGAGACAGGCAGAGACAGAGACAGAGACAAGGAAGAACACTCAAGAGGAAAAAAAGACAAAGTACTTGTACAAGAAAGGATCCGAGTATCCAAAACCACACGAAAGGAATTCAACATCACTGGTCATCAGGCAAATGCAAACTAAACCCCGGCGTTATGGTTACACCCCACCCTCAGCACCAGCGCACATAAAATGACCACAAACCAAGTACCTGAGGACTTGAGCACCAGAACTCACACAGTGATGGTGTGAACTAGTGCAACCACTCTGGAAAAGTGTCTGGCTCTAACGCTGAATGCACATACCCCCCGGCCCCCCAGCATCCTACTCCTGGAGCTACGCTCAACAGAAGCATCTACAGAGGTCCACCCAACAGATGCCCAAATACTCAAAGCAGCACTATTCTCAAGAGTCCCCAGATGGAAACCACACAAACATGCTCAGTCATAAATCGCGATGCATTCATTCACAGTAGAGCGTTCTACAACAATGAAAACAAATGGTGATGGTGGTCGGGGTAATGATGGTGGCAGCGGTAAGCGGGGCAGGAGGGGTGGTAACAATGTTGCTGAAGGTAGCGGCAATTGTGGTGGTGGTGGTGGTGGTGGTGGCGGCGGTAATGGCAATAATAATGATGGCAGTGACAGTGGTGGTGATTGTGATGATGGTGGGAGAAGTGATGGTGGCGAAGGTGGTGATGATGATAGTAATAGTGATGGTGGTGGCAGAGATGGTGCTTAGTGGAGATGATACTGGTGGAGATTATGGTGGTGATGGTGGCAGAGATGGTGGTGGTAGTAGTGGAGGTGGTGGTAGAGATGACGGTGGTGGTGGAGATGGTGGTGATGGCAGCAGAGATATTGGTGATGTTGGTAGGGATGGTGGAGGTGGTACTGGTGGTAGTGGTGGTGATGATTGTGGTGATGGTGGTGATGTTTGCAGAGATAGTGGTGATGGTGATAATGGTGGTGATGGTGATAATGGTAGTGGTGATGGTGGCGATAATAGTAATGGTGGTGGTGACAGTGGTGGAGATGATGATGGCAGAGATTGTGGTGGTGATGGTGGCAGAGATGATGGCGGCGCTGGGGAGATGGCGGCGCTGCGGTGATGGCGGTGGTGTGGAGATGGTGGTGGTGGAGATAGCAGTAATAGTAACAGCTAACAAATCGGAGTGCTGATAACATGCCAAGCACGTTTCCAAGCACTTTGCATATATGATCTCATTTCATTCTCATTATAACCCTGTGATGGAGGTGCTGTTATTAGTGTTCTTTTACAGAAGAGGAAAAATCCAAGAGAGGTTAAATTCCTTCCCCAGAGGTAATACAGAGCGAGTAGGAGACAGCGAGAATGTGAACACGGGCAGCATTTCCCGATGAGGAGAGGCACAGACGGGGACAAGAGGCCGGCTAAGGTAGGCACATACACGCTTCCTTTCCCTCGCACGTCAGAAGCAGTGGGAGAAACGAGGGAACGCGAGACGCACGGGCACTCTCCCCCGGCGGGACACCTCAGATTAACCCTTTTCACACGGTCCAAATTCCTTCTTTCATGGACAAATAGCTAGTCAACAGGGAAGCCAAAACTTCAACCCAGATCTTATGACCCTCCCCGCCCCCCGTGCCACCAGCTCATGCGTCCCAGGACAGGAAACGGAGGGCCTGCCTTCAGGAGGGAGCGCACAGGCTCTACGCCTGAACCCACAAAAATCCCAGGGCAGATGGACGGATCCCAAGTGACACCACGTGGGAGCGGCCCATGGATCTCTCCCTTCACTCAAGAGCATTCTTCCCAAGGATCTGGTAAATGTAAAGGCCTCAGGGACGAGGGAGCAGTCTTCCCTCCTTTATGTGTTCTTTGCACACCCAATTCATGATGGCATCAAATTAAAAGAGGAAGGAGCTTTTAGACTCTCTGAGCACTGGTTACTCAAAGTGTCTCTTCAGCAAACAAAGACAAACATTTCTGGGGCCGAACCCACCTTTGGTGGTGAGAAGCTTGGAGGTGACTTCCAGTTTCTCCAAGGGTTCCATCCCAATATTTTCCAATTTGATGACAAGTTGCTGAGTCTCCCCGTTGTAAAGCTGGACGGACACATTCGTAGAGATTTCATCACCAGAGGAAGGCTGCAAGGAATGTGCAGATCTGAAACAGCAGGAAGAGTTAAAGGGATTTAGTAAAAGAAGCAAAGTAAAGGAAAACAAAGGCATCTCAGAACCACGCACATCCCCGGACTTAACACATTCCAGAAGCAGGAACTCGGGAAGCATGGCTTTCAAATTAGAGCCTAGTCTGAGCTATTGGGAGGGGAGGGTGAGCACCACATGCTGAGCATCTTCCACATGCAGATGCATCCTGGGTCCCACTTGAGCTTAGCATCGTGTGTGTGTGTGTGCACGCGCACATGTGTAGCATAAAAACATACTTAACTACTGGATTATGGTGAGGCCTACAAGACACAATGAGTTAATTCAAATGATCTGCGAACTGTCACTCTCTAAAAAAAGTTTTTAAATGTCATGCTCACAACTGCCTTGGGAAAACCCACAGACTGAAGAAGAAAACAGGATTGTTTGATGGATACCATGGGGACTGGAGTGACAAGTATGTACAAAAAACTCCACGTCACGGGTACGAATGACAAGCAATCCCTGCAAGTGCCAAAGGGGACACAGGGCAACTGGGCAAGTGGTCTTGGGCCATATGGCAACCTCTGCATGGCCAGGTGAGGCCCGGGCCTCGTGGGAGCGCAGCCCGGCACACAGCCTAAAGGCTGCACCATAACCTCGAGTTCAAAAGCACATACGATGCTCTGGAGAAGTCCAGCCACAAAAGAAAGGGGGTGGTCACTGGAGCCAGCCATGCCCTTCCTGGGGGGCTCCCGCCCCAGGCTCTGAGAGAAGAGCTTCTATATTCAAACCTCATTTTCAGAAAATACTAGCATAATGAATCAAGGTGAATTACCTCACGTTTTACACCTTCAAAGTTACTCATGAGTCGAGAAATAAACTTTCTCTGTCAATGAAGGGAGATGAATCCTGTCCTCACTATAAACGACTTCTTTCCATATCTTAATCTGCAGTCCTTCTTAAGCAAAAGCTGTTTGCAGTCAACTTGCAATTGCAAAGGACATATTCAGAAAAACTAAAACAGGCGGGACGAATTACTTTGCCTCTCAGACAGACAGGATACCAGCCCCTCTGGGACTGCAGAAAAAGAAGGCAGGAGAAAGCAGAGCCTTAGCGCTGCCACAGGGCCTGGCCGACACAGGCGCTGACGGTCCCCAACTATGGGGGCCCGTGTGAGAGAGCTGGAGCCGGAAAGGGGCTGAGTCCTGGGCGAGCCGTAGGAAGGAGACGGCAGTTGGATATGTCCCCTTTTCTGGGCATATTTTTCCCTTGCTTGATCGATCATCTGGCCAACCTGTGTGAACCTTGTAAGGCCCAACTTAAACATCACACCTGTGGAGCCTTCCTGAACCGTGAATGGGAGAGTTTCCAGGTTAAAGAGCACTTAGCAAACGTGACTATGATGAGTCCGTCTCCCCTCCAGACATGATCTCCTGCAACAGGCAAGGCCCAGGTCAAGGGCATTTCCAATTACTTGCTAGTCCTCTAGACTTCTCAGGGAAGGCGTCCATAAACGTGGGGGACTGAATGTGTTACCTCGGTCACAAGGATATTGATATTAGACTCATTAGGAGCAACACTCCCTTAAAGAACAGTCAACTGAAATCACGTACTCCACACTAAAACCAATAAAATTCATTTTTTAACTGAGGTGTTACTTACATACCATGAAATTCACCTGTTTTAAGTATATAATTCAATGACGTTTAGTAAATTTACAGAGTCGTAGAACCATCATCCAAACTGAATTATCTTCATGACGTACTTTTTGAAGCAATTAAAATAGACATTTTTTAGCTTATGTTACATGGGTATGCAAAAAGTAATTAATGCTACTTTTCTACTTTTTATAAGATAAGAGTTAACTGTCTTTCATCAAAAAAAAAAAAAAAAAAAATTCCAAAGGCTAATTTCACATTTTGTTCTGTTTACAGTAAGAAACATTTCAGGTGTTCTACTTCCCTTTAAGCATGTTGCCTACTGGTTGTCTTGAAGAAACCCTTCACCCATATTTTGATCCTAAGAATCACAGATTAACTCAGATTCTTGGCATCATTAAAAATGTCTACTACAGGGGCACCTGGGTGGCTCAGTCGGTTAAGCCTCCGACTTTCGCTTAGGTCATGATCTCGCGGTTCATGGGTTCGAGCCCCACGTCGGGCTCTGTGCTGACTGCCAGCTCAGAGCCTGGAGCCTGTTTCAGTCTGTGACTCCCTCTCTCTCTCTGACCCTCCCCTGCTCACGCTGTCTCTCTCTCTCTCTCAAATAAAGTAAATTTTTTTTAAAAAAATGTCTACTACAGGGCATCTGGGTGACTTAGTCAGTTAAGCGTCCGACTTCGGCTCAGGTCATGGTCTCACGGTTCATGCATTTGGGCCTCGTGTCCAGTTCTGTGCTAACAGCTAGCTCAGAGCCTGGAGCCTGTTTCATGTTGTGTCTCCCTCTCTCTCTGACCCTCCCTTGCTCACACTGTCTCTCTCTCTCTCTCTCTCTCTCACTCTCTCTCAGAAATAAATAAAACACTAAAAAAAATTTTTTCAAATGTCTACTAGAGGCACGTGGGTGGCTCAGTGGGTTGAGCATCCAACTTCGGCTCAGGTCACGTTCTCACGGCTCGTGGGTTCAAGCCCCGCATCGGGCTCTGTGCTGACAGCTCAGAGCCTGGAGCCTGCTTCCAAGTCTGTGTCTCCCTCTCTCTCTGCCTCTACTTTGCTCGTGCTCTTTCTCTCTTGCTCTCAAAAACAAATACATAAACACTAAAGAAATTTTTAAAAATAAAATAAACGTCTGCCACCAACTACTGTCCGCGCCCCTCCCTGTCAGAAGGCGGGGGGACGGCACCCTACCTGGGCAGCGAGGTGCTGATCTGCAGTCGGGGCAGTGCAGGAATGACCTCCACTGTGGAGCCACTGGTCTTCACTCCCGGGAGGTTGTCCAGCAAACAGTCACTGAAGACGCCGAAGACGGCGGTGTGGTAACCTGGGAGGCGAAATGAAGAGCTTCATAGCCGCTGGACAGGCCACCAGCCTCGGGCACACGCCTGAAGGCAGCCCCCAGCAGGGAGGAGCACGGCCCCCAGCCCCTGGCCCTCCGGTCTCACCCACAGCTCGGCCCGAAGCCCTGGGTGCCACCCGCAGACGGAGGGGTGACAGTCCCCATATTCCCACCCGCGGGGCCAACTGGGTCCCAGTGGAAGCACCTGCAAGTCCTCGTCAACTAAGTCAACTTGACACTAGGTCTCACCGTTCTGACAATGTGCTTCTCCAATATGCCCATCTCTAAGAGAGTGGCAGCCAATGTCCCTTTGCAGCACAGAACGTGACTGAGTAAGTATCTATCTGAAAAATGATTCAACATCTTCTATGGAGAGACGGCAGTTCAAGAGCCAACTATTGTTACGGTAACTGCTACCTGAGACAGCAAATCTGCTGTATGGGTGCAAGCACTGTAATCTAAGATCAGCGAATTTGTCATGCAAAAAAAAAAAAAAAGTAACCTCCACTGGTTAGAGAAGCACTTGAAATAATTTAAGAAAGCTTTAAAATGGCTTCTGAAATTTCAGAGAAAATTATAATAAACAATATTCACCGTACAACAAAAGTAACCAACGCCCAAGGACGAGATGCTGAGGGTGCTGACGGCTGCGCCTTCACAGTAACTGAGTGGACACTAATCCGAGAAGACAGATGTCGGCCCCGATGGCCCCAGAGCCATGTCCTTCACCTTCTGCCAGCGTTAAACTGCTCTGGCAACTCAAAGTCACCAGTCACGGCACCCAGGCTTCCTTCCTCTTGAAACAGGTCACTTAAAAGACTTTTTTAATTTAACTGGCAAACATTTTCCTCCCCAGAAACCCATATCTGGCATAATGCCCCCTCATATTCTTCTTTCTATAAAAATTGATATAATGTGGTTTTGTCTAAGCAAACTTTGTTTCCCACTTTTTAATTGAAATCGGCCATTTTCCAGGCACCTGGCTGGCTCAATCGGTTAATTAAGTGTCCAACTTCAGCTTAGGTCATGATCTCAAGGTTGATGAGTTGGAACCTCGCGTGGGGCTCTGTGCTGACAGCTCAGAGCCTGGAGCCTTCTTTGGATTCTGTGTCTCCCTCTCTCTCTGCCCCTCCCCTGCTTGTGCTCTGTCTCTCAAAAATAAAAAAATAAGTTTTTACATTTTTTTAAATCTATCATTTTCCCTTTCTCACCTATTGCTGAAAATGACTAGAAAGAAATTCAAAACCTGATGACACCTGTGGGGTCTAATCATATTTCTGAGAATACGGGTCAGCCCTTCCCACTTTGCACAGAACATGTGCCAAAAGTGAACAGCAACCAGCCGCACCAACAAGAGTTGTGCTACCAAGGCTCTGGCTCCTCCACTGGTTACTGGTTACTGGTTAGCCCGTCTGTCGTCTGTCTCCTTCCCTGCCCGGTAATGGCTGCAGCCCTGCCTTTGTCATTTCGTCCCTGGATTATGCCCACAACTTCATAGTTGGTCTCCCTGTCTCCTGCCCGTCTCCAGCCCATGCCCCGTGCAGCAGCCCGGGGCCCGTCTGGCTGTGTCTCCTCTCATCGAATGCGGCCCACGGGAGAAAGCCAGCAACCCCTGGCGTGATTGACAAGGCCCTTCCAGGTCTGTCCCCTGTCTGCCTTCCCGGCCTCATCACCACCACCCCACTGCCTTGGGCCGGGTCCTCAGAGCCACCCCCTGCTCCCCAATACACCACGGGTGTCTGGACCACTTGTTCTCTCTGCCTGGAAACCCCTACTCCCCAGCCAGTCACTCGCAGGATCCTCTTTGGCCTTCAGAGCTCAGGGTCACTTAGTAGGAGAATGAAAGAAAGAAAGTCCTTCTCGACCCACGCTCCCCCTCCGGGCCTTCCCCCGACTTGGCCAGTCGTGTGCTGGGCCCCTCCTGGCACTTGCTGTTGCGCACCCTAACCCACTCACCCCCACAGACCTCGCCCTTCCCCACAACTGTCTCTCCCTTCAGTCACTAGGTATCCACCTGCGTGGGGCCCGCAGGATGGACAAGCCCAGTGAGCAGCCGCAGCCAGCGGCCCAGAGGGACCCACACGGAGCACGGGAGGGGCGCCTGGCAGCGCACCTGACCCGGCCCGGAGGGCTGAGGACAGTCTCCAGGGGACAGGAAGTCTGGGCTGAGAGCGGAGAGAGGCACAGGGGCCGACAGGTGTGGAAGCAGCAGCAGAAGGAAAGGCAGAGGCAGAGGCTCAGAAGGCCGGGCACCGCCGGGCGCCCGGGACAGGGACGCGCCACGCGGGGCAGGGGGCGGGGGCACGAGGCACCACAGGCCCGGGCCACAGTGGGAGAGCGCCGAAGCCCCGTGACGGAGGCCAGCCTGGACGGGGCAGGCACGGCGCAGGTGCTGAGCTGTGTCGCTCCAGCTGATGTGGCCAGATGCGCGCAGCAGGAAGGCCACCCGCAGCAGCGTGGAAAACGGATTCACTGGCCACCAAGACCTGACAAAGATGAGCCTGTTGCTTCTGTGACAAACCCTGTAAGAGGGTCCCGTCCTGTCTCTGAGTGCCCGCGGAGGCGGACAGGAGCCCTGGGATGCCGGTCAGCAGGGTAAGGACAGGGAGGGGCTGGTGAGACACAGCAGGGGGGAAGGCAGCCTCAAGGGCCGCTCCGGGCGCCCAACAGGACAGTGACGCCCTCACCGAGATGGGGCACCCAAGGAGCTGCTGGCCAGTGGCTGGCTGTGCAGGGTCAGGCAAGGGGTCCGCACGGAGCCATGGCCTGGGAGTCGGCAGTAGCTGGATGGCCCTGAAGCCAGAGAAGTCACTGAGATGCCTGGAGACAGCCCGCTGGGGGGTGGGGAGGGGGGTCCCTGGGGGAGGGGAGGAAGGAAGGACAGAGCCTGGCCACGAGGGGCACCATGGAGGGTCGGGTTGGGGGTCAGGGGGAAGGTGGCGGAGGGGAGGGCAGACGGGGGAGGGGCGGAGGGAAGGACGGAGCCTGGCCCCGAGGGGCACCATGGAGTCTGGTGCAGAAGCAGCATGTGCAGGGCGCGGAGTGGGAAGGGCAGCACACGGGGTGCCTCACAGCATCCGGAGGAGGACGTCACGAGGGCGGGCGGGCCGAGCAGCAGAGGCACGCACACCCGGGTTAGCTAGGACCCCGGCCCGCGGCAGGTCACACAAGCTACAGAGAGGGGGACAGCGGACGCTGTGCCTACACGGACCTCTGAAGAGGTGGCGGGAGGGCCTGACGGCGCAGGGCGCACGCCGGCAAATCCGCGGGCACCCCCGTAAGTGGGCAGCACGGAACGGGGACAGGAAGGCGAGGAGGCAGGGACACGACACCGGGGCCGGCTCGGCACCAGTGACGGGCCCCCGGGGGGCAGGGCCGGGCTCCGCAGTCCTGCTGGAGCTGACCTCAGAAAGCGAGCCTCCTTACCGTTCACAGTAATCATTCCGGTCGTCTGTGGGACCCCAACCAGAGTCACCGGGTAAAGACCGGACTCAGCCGGAAGGGAGAGCGCCGCGGGGAGAGACTCGAAGTCCACACCGCTGGTGAGGAGCCCCTAAAACAAGCAACAGCGACGTGAGGCCACAGCACACAGACCCATGCTTCCCGGCCCCCCCACCCCCAGCCGCAGGGCGTCCGCCCACCCGCAGGGCCAGGCTGCCTCGATGAGGACAGCGACGCGCGGCCTTCGTGAAGGTCCACAGAGGGCCGCAGGGTCAGGCTCAACGTGCAGGGGACACAGACAGCCTGGAAATGGGAAGCGCCGTGGGTGTCTGAACGGCTCCGTCTTGAGGTCAGCCCTACTTTCTCCTGTTTCACCAAATTGGAATGTAAACGTATTGAAAAAAAATAAAGTACGTTAACGTTAACCCAGAGAAAAAAATAAAGGGTGGAAATGCATCATCCGTTAGCATCCCTCAGTGAGCGACCGAGTCATTTCACTACGGGCCAGGCTGGGCTCCATGGCGACCAAGACGGACTCCCGGCTTCAGGGAGCCGCGCGCAGCGGTCAGCAGCGCGGGGTGCCAGCGCTCGGCACCACTCCTCAGCACTGTGACAGAGCCGACCCAGCACAACAGGCAACAGAAAGAACCTAAACGTATGCAGACAGTTTACTCACAAAAACCAAACCTATAAACATAAAAAACCCTGTGGAAACTACAAGGAATGTTGAACTAACACATGCATTTAGCGAAGGCACAAAGTCAGCGTGAAAAAAAGCAGAGGTATTTCTGTAATCTAGCAATAAACAAAAAATATGAGAGAATATATTACAAAAATACCATTAGCTAAGAAATGAGAAACATCAACCACACGGGAGCAGAGCTGATGAATGATGCGGGAGATGGCCCCGCGGCAGAGGACACGCACGGAGGAGGGGCCCAGGCCCTTTCTAGGGTGTGACTTCCACGGTGCCGCAGCCTACGGGGCCCTGAACTCACTCCAGACACGCTGAGGACTGAGCCACTGAGCCAGCACAACAGTGCTGTGGCCTCAGTTCTCACGCTGACTGACGGAAAGGACACAGGCGTGGGAAGGAGGAAGGCAAGAGAGGCCCCGTGAAGAGAGGCGAGGGCTGGTGGCACCACTGTGAAGTCAGGGCTGACGCTGTCTGTGTGCGTATCATGCACACACGTGCATCTGGGCACAGGTGTGTGTGTGTGCATACATGCAGATACGTGCATGTACGTATATCTGTAAGCACACGTCTGTGTGTACACACATGCATGCTTTTCCTAACTGTCCCTAGAAAGCCTGAGACGCAGATGCACCAGCGACACTGAGCACCCACACCTAGGACCGGATCTGGAGGGAAAGCAGCAAACGATCTCCATGCAGAACAGGGGCGGTGGCCAGCGAGCAGCAGACACCAGGCGATGGCCACTGGCTCCAGGCAAAACCTATCAGCATTTATTTCTTCTCAAAGCAGCTACGGCGCACATGGCTAAGTGTGGATGGTGGACATGGGAGGGGCTATCACTCCCTGTGACATTTCGTGTGCTTGAAATAGTTCGTTATCTAATCTTTTTAATTCTGACCATGATCTGTGGGCTACCTTCTAGTGGCAATTTTTATTTTATTCTCTGTTCTTTCTAATTTTTTATTAAAAAGCACATATTACTTTTATTTTTTTTTTATTTTTTTTTTAAGGTTTTTATTTATTTCTAGGAGAGAGAGAGAGAGACAGTGTGAGCAGGGGAGGGTCAGAGAGAGAGGGAGTCACAGACTGAAACAGGCTCCAGGCTCTGAGCTGGCAGTCAGCACAGAGCCCGACGCGGGGCCCGAACCCACGAACAGCGAGATCATGACCTAAGCGAAAGTCGGACGCTTAACCGACTAAGCCACCCAGGCGCCCCGCACATATTACTTTTAAACCAGATAAAAATAAAAGCTACTTTTTAAGACAAAAAAAAAAAAAAAAGATGTGTTGGAAAGAACAGCAAGCATCTGTTCTTTCTTGAAGCACTTTGGGGAAAATCCTCTAAACAATTACTCCCTGTTCAGGCCCAGAAACACAAGGTCATTACTAAAAGGCCTGGTGCGAGAGCAAACCCTAAGGCCGCAGCTTCCTGCACAAGAGGAGGAAGGCGGGACTCAGCCCTGTGGGCTTGCTCTCTGCACTCAGAGAGCCACAGGCTTGACGCAGCTGTGTTTCTCAGAGCTCAAGTGAGTTCTGGAAGCCTATGCTTCATGCTGAGAGCCTCAACACTACCTTCAGTAACCACCAGGGGGCCTAGTGAACTCCCACTCTTCCTTCTATTCTCAGCTAAGCCCTGATCTCTCCCGGGAAGCCTTCCTGGATTCTCCACGTGCACCCTAGCACTTTGTGCACCTACAGCACTGCCCACGGCAGGGAACAGGTCCCGCAAGTGCCTTGCCCACGGCCTGATACGTGGCATGAGCACTCAGCAAGATATCTGCATGAAAACCCCACCTCTCACCCTGAACATGAGTCATAAAACTCTAAAGGAAAACATGAACTATCTCAAAGCCATCCTTTACAAGTCTCTGAAAAATTAGAAAGTGGTGCTATATGCTAACACAAACCATTAGACAGCAATGCAGAGTACGAAGCCTACAAGGCAATGCACAGCACCGCGTAGTGACCACAGTACCGGGCCGCAGCGCTATGTGAGAAGGCGCGGACCAGGCGGTGACCCGTGGTACACAGCGGTGCTACATGATAACAGCAGAGAAGACCTGAGAAATGGGACCCACATGACAGGTGGTGGCTTAGCTCCGGAAGCAGAAGGAGTCTGGAAAGACAGAACACATCTGCTTCCCACGGACTCTGGAGTTAGGCGAGCAGCCCCGGTAGCGACCGCTACGAAGCAGACCTTGAATGCCTCCCACACAACACAAAAACAGAACCGGAGAGAAACCTCACGTTGGTGGTGCAACAACTTATGCTCTTACTCTATCTACACGGCCTGCTCTTCCCTCAGGCCTTGGTTGTCTGATCATCTTATAGTAATAAAGTATGGCTGACGCTGAGCAGTGGACACAAGGTACGCTTTGCAATCTGTGCTAATCTCATGTGAACTTCAACATGATCACTTCACATCTCACGTCCAATCAACTACACGTGGTGTGTGTTCAAACCAGAGGTATCTGCCCACTTATTCAAACGGTGAGCACCAAGCACTAAAGACACAGAAATGACAAGACGTGATCTTCCTTCACAAAAGCTTATAATCTTTGGCAAAACAAATAGAAAAACGGACATAGAGGGTGTGTGTCTCAAACAGCAATTTAAAAACTTAGTCTCCCGGAAAGCTGGTGTTTAGCTCCAAAAGGTGATTAGGGATACATACCATGTTTTCAACTCGGAGTTCAAACGGCATCGGGTTGTATACCATCAGCTGAACTTCACACACGTCTCCTTGAACCCACTGGAAATCTAGAACATACACACACAAGTCCACGTGTTAGCTGGTATTCTGCAGGTTTTACATCGCTTCAGATTACTCTCTGGCAATTCATCTTTCCAGTGAGACAGTGGGCATTACGGTCATCGTTGGATGAAAATTCAAAGCTAGTATAACTGTAGCTTTCTCTAAAACAAAGCAAGTCATCACTGCCACTTGGATGCTTCGTAACCGGTGTTTCTCACCATCTTTAGCAGGCTGAACTCATGCCAGTGTGCCAAATGCAGCTTTACAAAACTGAAAGCGATCCAGATAGCAGTCCGGTGCAGACCTGTAAGTCAGACTCCCCTGGCCCTTAGGAAGGTGGTGTTATAGTCAACTCCAGGCAGCATGTAGCACGATTCCCCCGTCCCCTCTCTAAGAATGTGAGGGAAGATGGTCGCCTCTGCCCCAGGCCACTTCCAGGTCAGCTGCAGTCCAACACCTGTCGAAGGCAGAATTCTGAGATAACCCCCAAGATCCCCAACTCTGGTAGGCACACCCTGCATTATTTTCTCCCCTAAGTGCGAACATGGTGATTAGGTTATGCTCTATAACAAAGGTGAAGGGATTTTGCATAAAGGTCCCCAATCACTTGGCTTTGAGTTCATCAATGGGAAATTGTGTTTGGGAGGGGCTGATCTAATCAGGTGGGCCCTTAGAAGGGACCGCACCCTCCTCTTCTCCTGGGAGAAAAGATTCAAAGCATGAGTGGGTATATGGGGCACTCAGTGGCAAGAATCCAGAGGGCCTCAAAGAGCTGGGAGGGGTCCTGGTTAACAGCCACAAGAGTGCTGGGACCTCAGTCATGCAGCCACAAGGATGTGAATAAAGAACTTGAAGGAACCTGACCCAGGTCCTTCCCTAGTCAAGCCTCCAGATGAGGCCACAAATCCAGCCGACACCTGGATTTCAGCCTGGGGGACCCTGAGTGCTGGACCCGACTAACATATGTGACAATGCTAACCCACAGAACAGTGAGAAAATAAGTCTCTGTTCATTTAAGCCACAAAGGTGTTAGTCATTTGTTACAAAGCAATGGAAAACTAAAGTAGCCCCACCTCCACTTCCCCGGCTCTCTGCTTCCTTTAAGATGACCCACGAGGCAAATCAGAAGGAACTTCAAAATCAATCAACATGTGTTGGGCACTAGTCGTGTCAGGTGTGAGCACCTAAAAGCACTTTATCTCATTACTCTTCACCACCGCTTCGTGAGACAGGCCTCCTAATCCCCACTGCGACAGGGCAGACACTCGAGGTCCAGGCAAGTTCATAAACGCGCCAAGGAATCCCATGGCTAGCAAGCGGTGCAGCGGGGACTGGAGCCCCGCACTGTGGACTCAAAGAGTATCCAGAACAGACACTGGTGTTAAAAGGGTTTTCACAGTAGGTACTAAGATTTACTAACTTGAATTCTTCCGCTTTCACCAGGCTTTCATCAAGACCCCAATGCACAGAGCACCTGGGTGGCTCAGTCGGCTGGGTGGCCAACTTCGTCTCAGGTCATGATCTCACAGTTGGTAGGTTCGAGTCCCGCGTCGGGCTCTGTGCTTCAGAATCTTCAGATTCTGTATCTCCCTCTCTCTCTCTGACCCTATCCTGCTCACGCTCGCTCTCTCTCGCTCTCTCAGAAATAAATAAAGCATTAAAAATTTTTTAAAAAAAGACCCCAATGCAAACACTGCAGCAGGCAGCCTGCACACAAAGACCGGCTACACCTAAACTGTGACATACGGCCCACAGCTGACATCCTCAAACTGCACGAAATAAAGAAATAGCCCGCCTAGTGAGTTGCTTTTGAAAGTGCTTGCCCAACCGTGGGGCACCTGGGTGGCTCCATTGGTTAAGCTCTTGGTTTTGGCTCAGGTCATGATCTTGCGGTGTCATGGGTATGAACTCCATGTTGGGCTCCACACTGAGTGCACAGAGCCTGACTGGGATTCTCTCCCTCCCTCTCTCGGCCCCTCCCCTGCTCATGTGTGTGTTCTCTCTCTCTCTCTCTCCCAAAATAAATAAACTTCAAAAAAAATAAATAAAAATGAAAGTGCTTGCACAACCACATGCTCATCTGAGCCCGCTGTCAACACCAGGAAGTGGTTAGCAGAGCAGGGACATCCTTGTGCACAAACAAGGCCCAGGCCCTGCCATGGTGAAGGGCTGCCGTCCATGCACTTCTCGGAGGAGGCAGCTGAGAGCAGGACTCGCGGCTGCCGGGCTCAAGGCCTGTGCTCTCCTCACTGTGCTGCGCTACCACGCTGGCCCCAGAAACCCACCCCTTCTCTCCCTTTCACCCGACCCCGCTTCCCGCTTCACCCCACCCCTCCTCCCCCTTCACCCCCGCCCCAGGCCATCAGGCAGGAGAACCGCCAGGGTGGGCTCACAGAAGCCACCCCCCAAGGCACATGGTGCCTCCAAGCGGGGCCTGTAGCAGCATCTCTGAGCCCACGCTGCTTGCAGGAGTAGCGCCCAGCACCTTCGCGCAGCCAATGAACACATCACTTGTTTTAACAGGATGCTCTGCCCAGCAGCTAAGGAACCGTTTTCTCTGTCATTGTCAAAAAATCATCATTTAAAAAATCATTTTCTGGGGCACCTGGGTGGCTCAGTTGGTTAACATCTGACTTCAGCTCAGGTCATGATCTCGCAGTGCATGGGTTCGAGTCCCATGTCAGGCTCTGTGCTGACAGCTCAGAACCTGGAACCTGCTTCAGATTCTGTGTCTTCCTCTCTCTCTGCCCCTCCCCCACTTGTCATCTGTCTCTGTCTCTCAAAATAAGTAATTAAACATTTAAAGAAAACATTTAAAAAACTCATTTTCCGGGGTGCCTGGGTGGCTTAGTCGGTTAAGCGTCCGACTTTCGCTTAGGTCATGATCTTGCGGTTCGTGGGTTCGAGCCCCGCGTCAGGCTCTGTGCTGACTGCCAGCTCAGAGCCTGGAGCCTGTTTCAGTCTGTGACTCCCTCTCTCTCTGACCCTTCCCTGCTCACGCTGTCTCTCTCTCTCTCCTAGAAATAAAAAACATTAAAAAAAAAACAACTGGTATTTAAAAAAAACTCATTTTCCTGGGGTCCTGAAAGGAATCATTTAAACTTGCATGGCCCCACTCTATAAAGGTGACTCTAAGATAAATCACGGATGACATCGCTGATCACATGACTTTTATTTGAAAGAAGGAGATCCTTCACGCCTCAGTGAGTCAGACCACACAGTGGAGGCCCTTCCTCGATATTCCATCCCAGAACCCGCGGAAGGCGCAGCCATGGATTCAGGTCCCTCCCACCCTGAGCCGCACCACACTCCCCGACACTACACCAGAAGAACCCACGCAGCAGGACGCACTCCCGACTCCTCGCTGCGTCCCCAGCACCTGGGACAGCGCACGCCCCTGCTCTTCACAGCCTCGTCTGAGCAGCTGCCGGGGACTTAAGGAGCATCCCCTCACTCGACCCTCACGAGAGCCCTCTGCGTGGGCTGCTCTGGTCTTCTGCCCGCCTGCAGCCCAGGGAAAAGTGGTCCTGTCTGAGACTGCACCGTGGGCAGCTGCGAGGCCAGGCCGAGGCCCAAGGCCACGTGACAGCCACGGCCCGCCCAGGCCACCACACTGCCTCTGGGGCAGCGGTCGACCCCACCACTAAGCCCAGCCTGGCCACAAAGTCCTAGCACCAATTCACGCAAAACCCTTGCCCCCGCCGTGTCCCAGCCCGGGGCTGTGCCACAATCGGCCGGGCCCAGAGTTGAACAGGGATAGCGGCAGCGCCGGCAACAAGCAGATAGAAGAAGGGTACACTCTTCCAAGCTGGAAAACAGCCGGCCTCAGAAATCGCCCCCGGGGGGTTTGGTTCTCTAGCACTCCGCGTCCCTGCTGTGATGATGACTCCCCCAATTACGCACAAAGATTCATTTATAGAGATTGGAGCGTTAGGTTAAAGATATGTGATTCTTCAAACCTCTAGGCAGGTCTTCGCTGATGAGTATATTACCAAAAAGATATTAGAAGCCACAGAATATAAATTACATTTTCCTACCCGTGGGTCTTCAACAAATAACATGCATTTTGGCTGAGGCTTCTGTTATATTTCAGAAAAAATCTTGCATCATCTACTGAATTTATCCTCATCCCATATGAGCAGGTAATTCTCACCATGATGAGGACCCACATGATGGAGATGATTGCTAGGCTTTGAGTCGTAAACCTTGGCTGAAGACCGAGCTCCACACTCACAGGCTGTCCAACCTTGGGTGGGTCATTTGTACTCACTGAATCTTAATCTTCTCATTTGTCAACTGGGGACACAGTGCCTGCAGCATCATGCAGTTATGCAAATCAGTGGAAAATGTTTGTTTAAGCCCTCGGTAGCAATGCGGGGTATTATTTTCATAAAAAGAAGTCTCAACAATTTAAGATTGGAGAGGAAAAAAATAAAGTGGCAGGCCTGGCTCTAGGGGGATTGGGAAGAGGGGGAATGGTTTGAGCCACAGCCACACAGGCCCAGGCTGGGGTGAGGTGGGGGGGAGCCACAGCCACACAGGCCCAGGCTTGGGGTGAGGTGGGGGGGGAGTCACAGCCACACAGGCCCAAGCTGGGGTGAGGGGGGGGAGCCACAGCCACACAGGCCCAGGCTGGGGTGAGGTGGGGGGGAGCCACAGCCACACAGGCTCAGGCTGGGGTGAGGTGGGGGGGAGCCACAGCCACACAGGCCCAGGCTGGGTCGAGGGGAGGTTGGCTAATGCTCTGTGGTCACCAGTTCCAAGTCTTCATAATTGCTGAACAAATCATGTAGCTGGTCCTGAGAAGTCTCACACTTCCAGCCCCCCCAAGTAACCCCTAGAAATTCTTCTCAAGAAAATGGGTGACAGCTTCCTAAACACCTTCTTTAGGGGAGAAAGCTATCACCAACTCCAAGGAGACAGAAGAGAGTGGCCAGAGACTCCAGATGGCCCAAGGGGGGAGCCCCAAGGGCATGATGACAAGAGTGACCGCCTCCATCAGGAGCCAGAAGACATGGCCTGGAGCAGGACCCTTCTCCCACCTTCACACAGGCCAAAGGAGGGGCTCCTGTGGGGAAGACAGGCCCCACCCACGGGAGCCTCCTGGCCCCCAGCCCACCCCGTCTCCCACCCTGCACCCCCGGCCCCCCTGCTTCCAGTCCTCTCAAGCTTGTCCTCCATCCAGACCAGGGGCCCTGGGGGCGGTGCCGAGAGGGGGATGGGGCCGGGGGGACGAAACTGTCTCCCAAATCAACAGACTCCAACTAGAATGTCAAAGACGAACTTCCGCCACAAACGCCGGCTTGGGGGGGGGGGGGCGGGGAGTCCTCTCCCTGCTAACACCCAGGAAGCACCAGCAGCTGGTCTTGTGTTAACGAACATCTGCTGGTCCTTGCTGACGCCGTACTGGGCGCCGGCCCCGGCTGGCCCACGGGGTGAGCTGCCGGCACAGACGCCCCCGCAGCCCGGGCTGCCACAGCTTCACCACCAGCGCAAGGGAAGCCAGGTCACCCGGTACCGCCGCCCCCAGGGAAGCCGCCTGGGGCACAATGGCCTCTGTCACCCCCACGCCAGGGCCCCCGTGGCAGACCCAACAGCATCCGGCCGGCAGGGCGTCGGGGAAATGTCACTTTCAGGCTCCCGCCCCAGCAGCACCGTGAGAAGGGCGGCTGCTCCTGGTGAACCTCCGCGTGGCCTGGTCCTCATACCCTCACGGTGATGCCCACGGAGAACATCCAACACCGTCAGAGAATGCTCGGACCCTCGTTGTTGTAAATAGTGCAGCTACGTGGTCAAGGGAAGGCCAGGTGCCAAAGCCTAGAGGAGGCTGCCCCTCTCCACGTCACCCCGTCCCTGCTCAATGGCACTAATTGAAATGAGCCATTATTTTATTTATTGGTCCACTTACTAGTACTTACTACTGCTTGAAATTACTACCTAATACTTCCCTCAACTTGTGACTAGGCCTCACGACCGCAGGGACCACATCCACCTCATCACCGTTAGAACCGCGGGGCCCGGGGCCACGTGTCTGGCAGACAAAAGAAGCTTGAGGGGAGTTTCCGGATGGATGAAGACTGTGCCAATGGAGACAAACGCACATACACATGCGCACACACGTGCACACACACACATGCACACACACACAGACTGTAGTGTGCTAGCCACTTGGGACTCCTGTTTTCAGAAACTTATCAGAGGGGCCCCTGGGTGGCTCAGTCCATTGAGTGCTCAGCCTCAGCGCGGTTGAACGTGCACTCAGGTTTGTGCTCTGCTAAGTAGCGGAGAACCTGCAAAGTCAGCACTCTGACTGTCTCTGAAGAAAACTAAACATCACTTCTTCCAAAAACACTGGGGAAACTACACGAGCCAAAGCATGACACCCTCACATGAAGGTGGAATGAAGCACTGCTGGCCATGACGAGCAAGCACAGGGTCCGCTCAGTACCCCCTACCTGGGTACACCCTCTGACTTAGGAACAACGTCCTCTCCCGGGGAACACTTCAGTTTTAACGTGTTCCGATAATGTACTAACTGGGAATAAGGCTTACAGTGGGATCCAGACAGATGCTAAGAAATGCTAGTGCCACCATTAATGTAAGAACTCTTCACTGAGGCCATGTGACGTGCGTAATGCTCACACTCTGGCTTTGAGCCGCATGATGCCGGCCAACAAGCACGAAATGCATTGGGAGCCGAGGCCTGCTCTGAGTTCTTCAACGAGTCATTTGAACTTCCTGGCTCTCCGTTTCCTTATCTGTAAAACGGGGTGCATAACATCTACCCGGTTCCTTCCAGCGTCCATGCAGTGCTCTCCCGGCAGCTGGCGGTAACGCAGCTGGTGAGCGGAGGGCGAGGAAACAGAGGCAGATGAGCATGGACGTGAGGACTGTGAAGAGAACCCGGGCCCACTCAGGGCTGGGAGGGCGGCCCAGGACTGCAGGGATCAGAGAGACGGCTCTCTCTGAGGACGGCACGGGGGAGGCGCCCCGGGCAGGGGGCAGAGCCAGCATAAAGCCCCAAGACGTAAGGTCCCAAGGACAGCGAGGAGCCATGCAGCTGGGAGGGAGGAGCAGGGGTACTAAGAGGGGCAGCAGCAGAACAGAGAGGCCGACCACGGACAGCCAGGGTCCACGCTGCGGGGTGGGGGGCGTGGGGTACAGGCAGCAGACCCTACACCCTGGGAGGAAGCGCCTCATGGAGCCAGCCTTCCTTTTTGCTACATTTAGGATACAGATTAAGAGGAGAAATAAAACAGGAGACGAAAGCACTGAGCTTTGAAAGCAGAGAGCAAAAGCTTCTCAGGTCTTGTGTTGAAACTCCTCAGAAAGAGCCTAAGTGTCCATCAACGGACAAATGGATCAAGAAGATGTGGTTTATCTATACCATGGAATACTACATGGCAATGAGAAAGAATGAAATCTGGCCACGTGTAGCAACATGGATGGGCCTTGAGGGTCTTATGCTGAGCGAAATAAGTCAGGCAGAGAAGGACAGATACCATATGTTTGCACGTATAGGAGGATTAGGAGGAACTTAACTGAGGACCATGGGGGAGAAGAAGGGGGGGAAATAGTGGGGGAGAGGGAGGGAGGCAAACCCTGAGAGACTCTTGAATGCTGAGAACAAACTGAGGGCTGATGGGGGTGGGGGAGAGGGGAAGGGGGTGATGGGCATGAGGGAGGGCACTTGTGGGGATGAGCACTGGGTATTATATGGAAACCAACTTGACAATGAACTGTTTAAGAAAAAAAAAGAAGAAAAGAAAGAAAAGAAAAAAGAAAAGAAAAAAGAAACTCCTCAGAGGGAATCAGCAATGACCCCCAGGGCCGCACCTGTCAACCCTTCAGCTTCGATACTGTGACACACCGGCTCACGTCTGGCAGTGCTCGGCACCGTTATCTCAAAATGTGAGGGGCCCAAGGAAGGGGGGGCTGGCGGGCAGCGAGACCCGCTGGTGGGCAAGGCTTTGGGAAGGACGGAGAGGGTGGCGCTCAAGCCCCGGGTCTGCTGTGAGGCAGGAGATGAGCAGACAGGGCTGGGGCCCAGTGGGGGAGCCGGGCACACGGAAAAGCACATTGGAGATTCTCAAGAAAGATCGGTGGCCCAGATCTATCCCGAAACACAGCTCCACCTGTCCTTGCTGAGCCACCAGGCACCTGGGCATCGGCATCCTCAGCTCCAGCCCAACAAGGGCTCAACAGAGAGAGTAACGTGCTGTCCCTGCCCCCAGTCAAGCCCGAACTTAAGTCAGGTTCTGCTCTCTGAGGATTCCCACGTACCCTGGGCTCCACGGATCACTCTCTGGTTCTCTCCTCAGTCTAGATAACACAGGTCCTCCGGTTTCTAAAACTCACCTTTGATGAAATCAATTTTTAAAAATCAGATCTAGGGACAATTGGGTGGCTCAGTTAAGCATCCAACTCCAGATTTCGGCTCAGGTCACGATCCCACAGTTTGTGGGATTGAGCCCCACTTCGGGCTCCGTGCTGGCAGGCAGAGCCTGCTTGGGATTCTCTCTCCCTCTCTCTCTGCTCCTCCCCCTTGTGCGCTCTGTTCCTCTCTCAAAATAAATAAATATTTTTTAAAAAGAAAACATTAGAACTAGGGGCAAAGTTCTGACATTGGCAGCAAATGGGATAAAGAGACATGGAGCAGACACACACGTGCAGGAAGGAACCGGAATCCAGGAAAGCCACTGGAAGCCGGAGGCAGGGCACAGCCAGGAAGCCAGGATAAACGGACCTACCTATTTTCTTGTTCCGCTCTTCTCCGCGGTTGTGGGCAATGATTGGTGAGTAGATGAAGGGGCTCTTGGTCGACACGTTCTGACCCAGCAAGCTTTTCATTTTCTGTGGCCGGAGGCTGGCGGGAAGGTTCAACAGCTTCACACGCCTGTTGTTTCAAATGGAACAAAAATCCATCACCTGCCTTGTTAGCGTGGCCTCAGCATAAATATTACCAAACATCACGTGTCAGAAGGACAACAGAGCAAACAGCAGAAGGAGGAGCACGCTGCACCTGACCCCTCGGGAAGTCCTCGGAGAGAACAGCTGCAGGGCGGGCAGCGGTCACGTCCTCGGCCTGCCCCAGGGGCCAGGGCGACCTGACGCGGCTTGCGGCTCTGTGCCCGGGGCCAGTGCCGTGCCCGCTGCACGCTGGGCTCCTCGCCTACAGGGCACGCACGGGCCCTCCCACACACACCACCGGGAGGCGTCAGGTCCAGGCTCCGGGACCTCCTGCTCGGCAGGACCTTCTTGGTTCCCTGTGCCTGTCCCCCTGCGGTGGGCACGCCCTCCGCACGCTGAAGAGCCCCGACCGCAAGAGCGAAGGGTTCCAGGCACCAAGGCTCATGGCGCCGGCTGCTCACTGAGGAGGAAGGCAGACTCCCCAGCAGCGCGGCCCGTATCCTAAACAGCTGTCCCTGCTGTAAGTGTCCACGCACGGCCACTCACGCTCAGGTCCACCAGCTACTGGTTCAGAATGACCGACCCGCGTGGCCTGAGCACACCAGGCCCCTGCTCAGCACCTCGCAGGCATCGCCTCCATTAAACCTCCCCACCACCCTCCCAGCCGGGGCTCTATGGCCGTGCCGTCCGCTCCCCCCATCAGGTAACTGACACAAGGGACAGTAAACCACCCCAATCACACGGCTGGAGGCTGTGACACCAGAGAAGCCGCTCTGCTCTGAAGCCACAGCACCTGTGACCCTCTGTGACCAGCTAGGCACGTGGGATTAGGATCTGGAATGTTCCGAAGCCAGGCACTGACAGGCCAGGGCGGAGGTGGGGCCCCTGCGGGGCCTGGCGGTGACCCGCCTGCACATGCAGCCCCCTGGCAGGAAGGGGAGGCTGGCAGATGGTGAGGGAGCCACGGGTGTCCCCCTGGAACTCAGCACTTTGTTTTTCATTTCCTTCCAGTTCCTTCAGGATGCTGTTTTTCACGTATTTTTCATCCATTCATCCGTTGATGGGCATTTGAGCTGTTTGCATGCCTGGGCCGTTGTGAGTAACGCCGCGATGAACACGGGGCAGGGGGTCCACACAGCTCCTCGAGATGCCGTTTTCATTCCCTCTGGATCCTTACACAAAAGCAGCATCGCTGCATCACACGGCAGATCCACTTTAATGTTCTGAGGAGCCTCACGGTGGCCGCTCTAATCATCCCCAGCACGGCGCACAGGTTCCCTCATCACATCCTCCCATCCTCTTGATGGCAGCCGTGGTAATGGGTGCAAGGTGAGAGCTCGTTGTGGTTTCGATGCGCACCCCCGATGGTGAGTGACGCCCAGCACCTCTGCAGTATAGACACACAACGGGGTGGCACCCCCGATGGTGAGTGACGCCCAGCACCTCTGCAGTATAGACACACAACGGGGTGGCACCCAGCCACAAGACAACGCACGCCGAAGCAGTGCGCCAGCCTCCGGCTCTCCCCACCGCCGCGCAGCGTTCCGGGAGGCCAGATACTGGCAAGTGGGGGCAGAGACGGACGCGGGCTCTGGGTCACCGAGTAGCCTCCAGGGTCACTTGCCCTGGAAAACTGCCCAACTTTCATCAAACTTTGTGTGAGACATAAACCTTCGTGGTAAGGGTTAATCTTTCTGAGACTTCAGGGTTAATATTTCTGCCCCGGCACAGGCCAACCGCAGTGATAAAGACCCCACACAGAAGCCACAGAAGCACTGCCCTTCTTGGCTGGAAAGGATCTCAGAAAGCTCGTGCAATCCTGTCCTCTGCACAAGTGACCCTACGGCATTCAGAAGTGACTCACAACTCCCCACAGCCCCACCATGGACGATCACAGCTATACATGTGACTGTCATCCGTTTTCCACAATGACCAAGGGAGGAGATGGTGCTTACAAACCAAAGCGCTCAAAGCCAAGGATTCGGTCTTGCACACTGGCTCTGACTCTCCTGTCTTCAGGAGCCGATCACAGTGTGATCAGTAGTGATCAGAATCACTCATAATCTTTTATCTGTTTCAGTTTAGCTGAAACCCAGGATGGGGTACCTGGGCACCCAGTACCCAGTATAAACTTTAATGGGTAGTTCAGGAAACACTGGATGAGGGACGCCTGGGTGGCTTAGTCGGTTAAGCGTCCGACTTTCGCTTAGGTCATGATCCCGCGGTTCGTGAGTTCGAGCCCCGCGTCAGGCTCTGTGCTGACTGCCAGCTCAGAGCCTGGAGCCTGTTTCAGTCTGTGACTCCCTCTCTCTCTGACCCTCCTCTGCTCATGCTGTCTCTCTCTCTCCTAGAAATAAATAAAACATTAAAAAAAAAAAAAAAAGGAAACACTGGATGAATCAACTCCCTAAACTTTAATTTCTAACTCAGCTTCTAAATCTTTCAAAACTATAAACTCAAGCCTAAGCAGTTCATTACCAATAGTGGCAACCCCTCGCTGTTCGCAAGCATTCAAAAGACACCTGCCACACTACCCCAGGATTAAGGTGACCAAACCTTAAAGCTGGCTGGGATGGCACGCCTGGTGTGGACCTCACGTCTAGCTGAAAGCGTTCACCTGCAGGTAATTCTCAATCTGCCCCCTGAGAAGCCTACTGAGGTGTGCACAGACCCTGCCCCGAGTCTGAAGGACCCACCAGCTGTCCAACTGGTACAGATGACTTCATCTCCCTGCACCTCAACCTTTCCGCCTACAAAACAGAAAGAATAACCGCCACCTGATAATGCTACGGGGAAAGGGGACACCTTCCTTCCTAGTTCCATGCCTCGTGGGAAGGAGCGTCCTCAGAGTAAGGGTCCTGTCCTCTCTCTGCTCCACCCCCCCCACTCTTCCTAAGGCAGGTGGCCAATTCGGAGGGAGAACCAGTGTGAGCAACGCCCGGCACCTTCTCGTGGGGCCTGCCCGCCTGCAGAGGGCACACAGTGCTGTGCTCTCCACACACACCGCGAGGGGTCTGGCCCTGTGAAAGAGGCATAGTTACCGAGCTTTGCTGGACACTGGGGCGACATCATCTGGCCAGACCCGGGCCATGCCGCTCACTGGGTCTTCCATCTCCCTGAGACAGGTCTTTGTTTCTACTGATTCCAAACTCGGGCAAAGACAGAGGAGTATCCGAAGCGATATACTCAAACTGCAGCAGGCCAGTTGGGGGACTAAGTCGGCTCATATATTTAAAGCACCTATAAGAGTGCCTAACACAGAGTGGGATGCAAAAGCCTTTCTCTTCCCTCCTTAAAACAACACTTGTTTACAAACAGACAGCAAAGCTCTGGTGCAAAGACTCTAACAGTGGACTGGAGTAAAGAAATTAAGTTTTGGTTCCAAGCCTGCTGGGAACAGACTGCTGAGCCCTGGACCAGGCACAGTGTACTTAAGCCTTAGAGTTTATTCATGTGTAAAATGATTCTGTTCTCTTGCAACACAAATAGTTTTCTACCCCAAAGTCAACACCTAAAAATGAGATGTCATCTGTGATTCTAGAGGATCCATCTATACAAGCACAGACATTACAGATCATATAAAAGGTTTTTATAATAGGCAAAGGAAGGGGGCCTGGGTGGCTCAGTTGGTTGAGCATCTGACTCTTGATTTCAACTCAGGTCATGATCCTAGAGTCGTGAGATTGGGTCCCGTTTTGGGCTCTGCGTTGAGCGTGGAGCCTGCTCAGGACTCTCTCTCTCCGTCTGCCCCTCCCACCTGCTCACGCTCTCAAAATAAATAAATAAATAAATAAATAAATAAAAGTAAAAAGTAAAATAAAATAAGTTAAAATAAAATATGCCAAGGAATTCTATGATCAGCTAGCAAAGTAGCCCAACAGGCAGTCACAGCATTCATTCATAAAACTTAGCATCAAATGTCTTTCTATAAAATGTATCCTATGGAAGGACAATCATTGAGCACCTGACCTAAAGGATACATGGTTCATTTAGCAAGAATAACTGCAGAACTAATAACATTACATTTAGGCTGTGAAGCTGCCAACAGGAAAGCTCACTTCCAGGGATAAAGTGTCCAAAACAGGGCTCATGCTTAGAGAGTCCGTTTGGAAAGTGCTGACCCGTCAAAGCCTGCCTGTGGCTGATGGGGACAGTGCAGGACAGTGCAGAGCACTGGCTGGGATCGTGACATGAGACACACCAGCAACAGGAGAGGCGGGGAAAGCCGCTTACCTTTTCTTGCCTGGTTTGGAATCCACCTACCTTCTTCACAGCAGAAACTACCTGAGAACCTACCTGGAGCTCTGTGCAGACGGACAGGGACTAGAAGAGCCGCGTGTGCCCCGCACCTGGCCAAACACGAGCAGCATGGCTGGAAAGGGCTCACGCGCCACCGCGTCAGCGACACGTGAGCGCCCCACTCTGGCTCCTGACTCGACGACGCGGTTCTCGCCATCCCCACAAAGCTCTCGTCAGGAGGTGGCGGGCGTGGCGATCACACCGAGCGTGAGGGAAGATGCTGGAGCGGCTGAACCCGAGGAGGCCCGGAAGGCGTGCCCGGACTGGGATCTGGGAGGCGGACTGCCCGGTTCCATGGACCAGGAAAACGGCCCCGACTGTCGTGGCCTCTAAGCCTTCTTGAATAAATGCCTGTAACCCTTCCTCAAATAATATAATTAACTTTAAGTTTTAGGGGCGCCTGGCTGGCTCAGTCGGTAGAACATGCAACTCTTGATCTCGGGACTGAGTTCGAACCCCACGTTGGGTGTAGAGATGAGTTAAAAATAAAATTTTTACCAACAACAAAAAAATGTTTAAGTTTTAAAAGTACCAAAACCACTCAAAAGCACTCAAAGCCACTCAAAGCCCATTCTGACTGGAGAGTTTGATCCTTATCAATTAGAATACCCTCGTGAATTCTATAGCTCTTTGCCAGACTGAAGGAGCTCAGTATTAGTTTCTCAGCAAACAACCAGCAAATCCCCC